TCTGCACTCCAAGGCCCACAAAGTCCTGCACCTGCCACGAAATGTGCTTTGCAAGGTCCACAAAGTACTGCACCTGCTACGAAACACGAAAAACAAAAAAAACGAAAAAAAACTACAGAAATAAATTCGCAACCTTATTTGTAGTTTATACTCAATCTTCATCCATCTTCATCCCGGTCTTTTCTGCTTGGACCTCAAACTGCCTGAAACCGCCAACGCCTCCTGGAGGCCTCAAACCTGCTGGCCGCCTTAGCAGATGCCTTGAGCCAGTTGTTGTCCAATCCTCGGAGGGTGTGCAAAACAGAAGATCCGCCGCATTTTGAGACCGGAGGGGTATCCTTGGATATTTGAACCAGGATGTTGCAAATGTTTACTGATAGAGGCGGTGTGGGGTTGGGACCGGTAGGGAGCAGAGAAGGGAGCACTGGAGGAGCACTGAAAGGGTGATGCTTGCCCTTCCATCTTGCAAGCCTGCATGAGCCCAAACCGACTCTGGCCGTTGATTCTCGTTGAAACCACGTTGGTGGACCCAGCAAAAAAACTAAGGTCCAGTTTCTGGGAGGAACTTGTGACGGCCGGACAACAACACTAATCAGTTCCATGGTGAGTGGTTGGAAAGCCGAATGGATGGCACACTCTGACTCGCGAACACGGAACTGGAAAATGGTCCCTTGATCATCATTGATCTTGAATTAGGCGAATGCAAGACCCTATAAAACCTAGTTAGTTCTCTGTAGACCCCAACAATCACACGTCAGAAGTCCCGGCCGTCAGAAATTCAGATATTTAGGGAACACCAAGCCGAGTTAAGAGACACCAAGTTGAAGATGTGTTTGGTTGAAATTTAGAAATTCAAACTATGTGGAACAAGTAAAGTGTGTCTTTCTTTTGGAAGCTGAACCCGTGTTTGCACCCGCCGGTGAAACACGACCGGTCTCGAAACGGTGCCGGATCGGACGACGAGTGCTGAACGTCCTCAGGTCTGCCGCGCGAGAAGGGAAGAAGGACCCCCCAGACGCAGACGCGAGCGGCCTGGGAGCGGACGTCGAATCCTTCCAACCAAAGGGTCTGGGGAGACTCTCATTCAATCCCGATCGGTTTTGGAGGGAGCAGTCAGGAGTCGGGCGTTCACGGAGAGTTGGGTGGGCCAGGAGTGGGAGTTGGTTTTGTTTTGATCCAGGGGCCGTGTCCAGGTGACTACCACCGGGGCACCCCCTAGCGGCCCTGGCCGATCCTCCGGATTCGGAACCGGCACCGTGACGAACGGGGCAGGTGTGACTCTTTGGACAGACCGATGTTTCGCAAAAGCACATGCCAGGACTCCAGTCGGGGTGTCCTGGCTGGAGGTCCCTTAGTAGGGCAGGGGCTTCCAGCCAGGTGACCCCGACATGAAGGTGCTGGTGGATTTGTGAATGTTTGTTCACTCCATGCCACTGCTGCGCACTTGTTTTGGGGATGACATAAGACATGAAGGGGCGGACCGAGATCACACTGCTTCATCGCTCTTCACACTTTGCTGGTGAAACATCTGAGAGTCACGGCCAAACCCGGCCCCTGAAAACAACCAGGTGGACGATCATATTGTTTGCTTTTGGTGGCTTTTGGGGATGAAGAACTTGTTTTTCCTCCGGTGCTGAAACGCAGGAGGTGCAGCTTGGTCCCTATCAGGCGAGAATCGGCGAGACCGACAGACAGCGGACGGCAGAGACAAAGGAGCCACCAAGAGAGACCACTGGGAGACGAACGAATCCGAAAAGGCTTGAAGATAGAGCTGATTCGCCCACTGATGCCCACTGCCTGGATCTGTAGGACCCAGTTGGCCGGGTCTTGTGGGAAACCATGTTGGTATTCTCCCTCTTGGCCCTTCCGCTTCTTTGCCGGCTGTTGCTCAACACACTCATCAAAGAGTGCTTGGAGAAATCAGGCCCTGCACTTGCGCTTGAGCGGTGAAGAGAAACACATAATAGATCATAATAGTCCTTGTCCACCGAATCAACTGCAGAAATTTGTCGGCTTCTTTCGCTGCAGCCCCCAGCCAAGCTGGTACAACCACACGCCGTTTTCCAACGAGAAAGAGATATTCTTTCCGAGCTTCCGGGATCCGGCACGCCCTCCGGAAGGGATGAATCGGAGACCCCGCGTGTGCTGGGTCCCAAAACCACACGTCTCACGGCTCCAGGTACGTTGCACCAGGAAGCCGAAAGTCTTCTTCTTCGTGCTGCCAGGGCCTCCGAAAGCGTGTTGCTTTTGTGTTGTTTTTGCGAAAGCGAACAAATGCCGCTGGATTCTGAGCGAAGTCTCTAAATAATCTATAATCATATTATATAATCTACTGTAATACTGCCTCCTGATATCTCCCGATTGTTAGTTAAGCTGCCTTCCCTGGGGCAGCTGACCTGAATATTAGCTGTGACATCTGATTATTTTTGTGCAAAGAGGTCCTCAACATCCCCGCGCGTTTCAGGCCTGCATCTTTGCCCAAGAGCCTGGTGCTGGAGCTGAGGCGCTTGGTCTGTGCTTTTGGTGACGGCATCAGACCAGAGGCATTGATGCGGAGCGTCAGTCAGAGGCGTAGCACACCAAGTATACCTACACATTGGGGTGGTTTGAGGGGTGAATGTCGGTCAATTCAGGACTCGGTCGTTCACTCACCTTTACCCAGTTCTCGAACGTCAGCCAAACGCTCGCCCTTTCTCGAGAAGGTCCAAACACCGCCCTCAGGCCCATCGCGGTGGCAGAACCACCCAAGGCGAGGATCGTCCAGGTCCTTCTGGAGTTGGAAGGCTTCGACGCCCAGGCGCCCCGCCCTGCGACGGTTCCCGGCGACCGGAGAAGCGGGCAAGTGAACACGATGTTTTTTGGGGGGCGGCTGACTGGGGGGATTTACCTGAGCACCCACTTTTATTTAGGCTTTACTAAAGTCGTCTACGGCACGCTCTATTTGCTTGTCTAGAACGAGGAGATACTTTTGCTTGATGACACTAAATTAGTCTACACGAGATAGTGTGATCTGCCAGCAAAGTAGTCTGAACGAGATACTGCGACATCACCTCCTACTTAAGTAGCCTAAACGAGATAGGGCCCACACATAATGGATAGTGTATTTGAGTTTAGTACAAAATAAATGCCTCCGCACACCTGGATGGGTTTTGAAACAAGGGCGAGCCACATGTTGGTTCTTGATGGTTTCATGGTGGTAAAACCACGGGTGGGAGGATTTTCAATCGGAGTTGTTCATGTTTTTGGATAAGAAGTGCTCACCCATATCAGCTACGTTGGTCCGGTCCTAAATGTTGAAGTGTTTGCTGATACCGGTGCTTTTTATTCCTGTGCCTTAGAATGAAGAGGCCATTTGGGTGGGGAGCATGTTGGATGAACAGTGGTGCGCTGTGAAACCCTCGTGTTCTGTGATATGAAAAACATTTCAACATTGGGGGAGGCCTCCGAGAAGCTGGCGACGGGACTCCTGGCCAGAGCAGACGACATCGCCGGGAGTGCTCAGTTGCGCAAGTGGTTGGAAGGAGGTGCGATGACGAGTTGGATTGATGCAAAGTACTAAATGCCCAGCAGGTCAACATGGTCAACCTACAAGGGTTTAGTGCAATCAGTTTGTATCTTGTAGATATCTCTGGACATGCCCAAGTGTGCACAAGTGGTTCGATATAGAATGATATAGATCTGGACTTATTACAGTAATTATGGTAATTATGAGTACTTTTGTCTAGATAATGTCGAGCGGGTCATTTGTGCCGTTCGCTCACTGCCGCTCCTGGCTCCCCAGAGGAGCCAAGAAAGACATGATGTGAATATGTGACATTATGTGGGAGTCGTCCTAAAACCCACATTTTTCGGGAAAAGGTTTTTTGAACAACCCCCATGTGACGGTTAAAGTCAAAGGTCAAGTGTTTAGAGACCCTTGTGCAGGTTGACGACCTTCGCATGCTGTAGCACCAGCATTGGTCGGTGAGCTTCAAATGCTAGGGATTTGAGCTCGAAAACACATGAACACACTAGGCTGGGCGTCGAAAGCCGCGACGAGCCCTGTGAGGCTTAGCACGGCACCACACCTTGAGTGTTTTTCGGTTTCTCGATTAGAAGCAACCTGACAAATTAAGGTCAACAATGGCGCAGTTGGGCAGCGACTTGGGCGTAGACTCGTTTGATTAGCTGAGTCAGTGTATGATGATGCGATGTTGAGACAAACGCATCCGTTTAAACGAAGAATTACGATATAATTGGCGTTTGTTTCCATCTCTTTGAGACCAGACTTCAAGGCCAGTCTATAGATGTCTATAGTACGCTGAGTCAGTCTTGGTCTTGATGATTGCATCACAGCTTTGCCAAGGAAGTACACCAGTTGTGGTCCGCTTCTCAGTACACTTTGCCATCCGTTGCCTCCTGCTTGTAAAGCAATGGCACATACAAAGAGCCACGCCTCCAAATAGAGAAACAACAGTGCGATGCAATGTTGGAGGAGTTTGTTACTCTTCTATTCACACCAAGGATCACAAAACTCAGTGCCTCAGTGCCCAAGACTCCACGCCTCAGTGCGGAACTCCCGTTTCACAAGAGGACGACCTCCCACGGTGGACTACACGGTGGACTACACGGGTCCGGTCGGTGGACGCACCGCGGGACGGTTACCGCGTGGCAGCGCGACCAGGTTTGCAGCGCTTGCGTGTGGCCATTGCAGCTGCGGGTGAGGTGAGATCCGGGGGATCCGCGCGATGCGGATCGGCGACGCGGATCGGTCACCAGGTCCGGTGGGGAACAGGCGAACTCTCTGCGCCGGAGGAGGAGATGTTGGGAATGCCGCGAAAGGCGGCATGCGATGGATTTTAGAGTCATTTGGGAGGAATCATTCTTGGAATATCTTGGAATGTCTTGGAGCATATTGTTCTATTTGGTTCAATTTGTCGCCCCATCGACCTGCGATGAGGATGAGCGGTCAAGAGCTCGGGATCCGATCGAAGACGGGGTTGCTTACGAGCTCCGCAGAGACCATATTCCTGATGGGTTCTTTGGTTTCTAGGGTGTTTGCAGTGGAAACTGTAGATAAAACCTGAAACCTGACATCTGTGGCAAACACTGCCCCTTCTTTTTGTTTCAAAACCAACCCTGATCGTCATACTTGGGGCGATGTGTGGGCTCCAGAAACTGAAGATGAAAGCATGGTTCAACGTGTTAAAAGTGTTGCAGTAGGCACAACAGGATACAAGGACCAGCTTCTTTTTGTTCTGGGCTTGTGCCATCATGTGGCATCATGGCTTGATTCATGTGCCATCTTACTCTCAACGGGCGAGGTTCGGCTGGGGAATATTTTCCTTGACTTGTTATTTGGGTATGTTGGGTCTTCCAGAATAACCGTTTATAAATAACAGATAATAAAAGCATTTCACATGTCATTCCTAGACCCCCCACAATGGACAATCCCGAATCCAAAGATGCGCCACACATCCACAAATCTGGAGATGCCACTCCCCCCACCCCAAAACAGGCAGTTTCCCCACGACTCTCCCGACGAGTGTCACGAAACCCGGACTTCCAGGACCTGAGTTGCGGTTGTTTTCGCTCTGCTTTTCGATTCGTCCCCTCCACCGCTCCCGCATACTAGCACCAGGCGCTCCGCCGGGAGGAGGGAATGTCCGGAGTGGTGCTGGCAGCTGCCGCAGCCCTGGTGCCTGGTGAAGGTGGGCTGCCCACCTACACCGACCAACCGCGTCCACCGACGTCTCGACGTCTCGACGTCTGGTGACTCGTCCGGTCACGCGGTCCGAGACGAGCTGGGCCATGCTGAGCGTCACGGGGTGAGACGTGCTCTTCTTCTTCAGTTGATGGGACGTTTCTGGGGATTGATGGAGACTTTCATCTTTCAATGCTTTTGAAAGGTGCCAGTATGTGCCAGTCCACTCGACATAGACAGGCAAGACATGACAAGGGCATACTACAGGTACCGCAAGATTCATCATTGCAAGTGGACACCACTGAAGCCAGAAAGTGGGAGCATTTGCATCACTGGCGGGCGTACTTCTTCTTCCTCCAGCCGCATCCGCCCGCATCCGCAGGTAGTTCCCATCGTCGCAGCTGGCTAGGTGGGATGAACGAGTTCCCCATTGGTCCGTCTCTTTCGTGACCATCGAGACCACTGGGTGGTGATTCCAACCGTGTGAAGGACCACGGGTCGTGGTCGTCGCAACTCCTTTCAGACCCTGCTTCTGTCCCATATCCTCAGAAGGTAGGGAGAATGTCATGTCAAAATCCATGGGATTCTTGTGATGCTTTGCGGCCGTTTCTTTTTTTCCCAGCATGTTCATCCCGAATCAACCCATGTCCATGGTCCACTCAGTGATCAGGGTTGGACCTCCCGCAGTTGGATCGGAAGCACCGCAGCATCGGGATGCGGCATGACCCGCCCGAGCGGCATCGGTTCACGCAGGTCCCAGTGGCAATCCCGTACTGGCGGAACAAAGCAAACTCTTAAGCGAGCTGGTCTCTTCCTCAGAGACATCCGACTTCAAACGCTGGCGAACATTGGAATAGGCTGCCTGACCTGCTCGCTGGTCGCTCCAACTGAGGCTGTTGCTGAGGAAGACGTTTCGGGGCAGCACGCAGAGGTGAGGATGTGACATATCTTCTGACAGGTCCAAAAGAAGCTCCCAACTGCCAGTTGGCCGAAGTTTGTAGCCTGTTTCTCAGGGTGTCTCATTCAAAAAAGATGGGGGATGAGTGGGCAAAGCATCCTGAGCAATGAAGGTTTCAACTCTGATTCAAAGGGGTCAATCACGAACAATTCTCGAATTTGACATGGATTGACCATTCTTCAATAAATGCTTCATGATGATTACCATTGATTCCCCCTAATGGCAATGCAGGGAAGAGATACCAGCACAAGGTAGAGGCAGCATTTCCTGAATGAAAACATCCAAGAGTAGAGGTCAAAAAGAGGTCAACCGCGCCAAAGTTATCCAAAGTTAGTTAGGTAGTTAGCTAGTTAGTTAGTTAGTTAGTTAGTTGGTTATTTAAGGGCTTACGCCCGACAGCCGGCCAGGGGCGTTGAGGTAGGGGGCTGGAGGGTGGAAGATTGGGTGCGGGTGCAGGCTGAGGGAGTGGATGTTGGGCGGGCTTGGGGCTATGTTGCGCACAGCTTGGGTCTAGCTTAGGCCATCTGGAGCCTTTGTCGCGCTGTCTTGGGGCTTTGTTGAGCATAGCTTGCGTTTAGCTTGGGCCATCTTGGGCCCATGTTAGCTCAGCTTGAGCCCATGTTGGCTTAGCTTGGGCCCATGTTAGCCCAGCATCCGCCCATGATGCCGACGAAGCATCCCGGTGCGGCAAGCACTTCCAGCATTATTTGGGCCTACGTTGGGCTATGTTGACCCATCGTGAGCAACAAGCGCGGAAAAAATATCAAAAGCCCAGGCGGGTCCCCCACCTGGGGGCGGACTTGCTTTCTGCTTCGCAGAAGGAGAAGTGCCTTACGCAGGACACGTCCCTGACGGGGCTTCTCGCCCCTGGCCGGACTTAGTTATTTAGCTAATTAGTTAGTTAGTTAGTTAGTCAAATCTGCCGACACCAGCACCAGCACCAGCAGCACCAGCAGCACCAGAATCTGTGGAATCGAGCGGCACGAGCGCTCACGTCCGAAATCTTTCAGGGGCAAAAGAGGGCGCTGCTGCCTGCCGTTCCGGGTGCCTACGTTCTGTGCCGGCGCCCTCGAACGTACCGTGCCTATCCGTGCGTCCTTCGAAGCCCGGCGACCCCGGACTGCACCACAGACGACGGATGCGGGGAGGCTTTCTGCGGCGCTGAGAAGCGAACATGTTGCTTTTGGATGTTGGCGTATGAAGACCACCAATTCGGATGCCAATCAAATATGGGTTTCTCGTTGGCACCGGGAACGCCTGGGTGACGCAGATGGATGTCATGGGCGGAGAGAGGCAGCATGGTGCTGTGGTGCCTGATGGTGCCTGATATTTTGGTAGGTGGTTCCATGCTCCACTCCAATAATCAATCGCCAAAGCGGTGGTTTGACAGAAACCAGCCCAAACTGGAGAAAGTGGCTCATGACCCAGTTAGCCCACCTGCCATGGCATGGCCATTGATGCCAGAAGCCACCCGGCCGCCAGACAGTCAGCGACCCAACCATCAGGCCAAGGCCTCCCCCCTACCGTTCATGAATGCATAGACAGCTCCAATTGAAAGCTCCAGCGGCGTTGAAGAACTATGAAGAACTCACCTGAATCGACCTGGAGATCAGCGACTGCACACAGCGGTACATGCATCTTGCCCAATTGGAGAAGTCTGGAGACCGCATGGAGTGGCGTGGGAACTGCCAACTTAAAACGACCCGTGGCGGCACGCCCTACGCTGAAGTTCTTCCGCGGTGACTGCTTCGGCGTCGCGGATCTCCTGCGTCCGACGGGCAGCTGCGATGCCGATGTGCCGCGAACACACGCCGCTCTCGAGGATTCGGATACACCACTGGGCAACCGCGCGCTTGAGAGCATTGCGCCCTGAGAGGGAGGTTCAGCGCCTTGAAGTTCAGAAAGGCTTCGGCAACTGGCAGCCGCTACCGTCCATGAAGACACTTTGCGTCCGCTGGCATTGTCATCATTCATGCACACTCCCAACTCCCAACCATGCGCTTCCGTATTGGCGGAAGGTTATGGTGGGCGACCATATATACGTTTCGGTGGCCTCAGAACCCCACAAGAACATTTTTACTGGATTTTGTTGGATGTCGCTCTGTCCAGACATCCTCAGTGAATTTAGGCTTCGCAATGAACCTGGTCAGACACCGAATTGGCGCTGACTGCGCCACGCTCCACGCTTCTCCACGCTCCACAATGGCAACGACTCGACCGATGAACTATGGCTGTGAGATGCTGTGAGTCAAAGCATGTAATATATTATATATATATATAACACCTAAAGTGACCTAAAGCCCAAGGTCCCCTAGTAAGGGAGGTCAACCACAGCCCAAGGTCCCCTGGTGCCATGACCTTCACCGCCCTTCACCCAGATGTTGCATGACACCTGCATGACACCTGCATGCAGGCCTCAAGGAGGTCAGCTAAGAACAAACCACCAAAACAAGCTGGTAGTTGCTATATGATGGTATATCACATCATGTAACAGTAACAAATTTAGAGGGTTGATGATGGCCGGTTTGCATTTCAAGTGGCTTGGACCTTTGGTGTTTGAGTATATCACGCCATGTGTCCACACGTGTGTTTCAAGGACCTTGGCCAGAAATGTGGATCACAGGCCTTTCCAAGTTATGCGTTCCATACCTATCGTTATGGACCGATCCATCCCATATTTTGGAGCCTCCTTGGTATGTAAGGTGCCCAGTCTTTAAGCGTCGGTGTGACAAAAAGGAGAAAGACCCTTACATCCCATCGTGCCACCAAAAGAAACCTCAATTCTTGCAATGGCCGACACCACATCAAACATGCCAGGACGCATGGCAAGCTGACACCGACCAGTTTGTGCAGCGTGCTTGATACTCAGCCAACATTGGGGCTTGAATTTGTCTCAAAATGGTCAACGGGCCCCACAAGTCCTCCTCCCTACCAGGACAGGACCATTGCAGGTTCCCTCGGTTGGAGTCTTGGGTTCGTGATGCTTTGTTGAATCGTGAGACCGACCCAGGTGGAGGCCTTTTGTACGACTTCCGGTGGGCAGCTCAGATGGCATCTCCATGTCAGAATGACAGGTTTACAAGACATACTTTTGTTGACTTTAGGTGTGTCATAGCAGGACAGCGCCCCGTCACCACCAACCCACTTGCCAAACAAAACTTTGAGAACACGGATGAACTTACCCTGTGGTGCCCGCCAAAAGGGCCCCACACACGCGGGAAACACATTGTGTCCTCAGACTGGAGGTCTTTCTCCTGGCAAGAAGACTCAGCCTGGAACTTGGGGAACGCATGGGTCGTCCTGTTGGCCAGCACGGGTCGGCGTGCGAAGACTGGATACCCGGCTGGTCCAATTGAACACATGGATTTCTCATAAGTAGACTCATAAGATGTCTTTATTGGTGGCGTTGAAAAAAGTGCGTTTGAAAAATATGCCGGGTGTCCATGTTCTTGGTTGTGCAATGGTGGTGTCATTTCCCACGACTTGACATGCTCCAACAATGCCACGCATTTGTCTCGCTGGTTTAGGAGCTCGGCTCACACAAGTGTACACTTCCTGGAACTAACATGGAAGTGGACACTGGCTCCTTGGAAGAAAATTTTCTTCTACATGCGCACTGTACGACGTGTTGACCCTTGGTTTTCACCGGGTAGTAGATAGAGAGAGAGATAAGATAAGTGTGAAAATGAAACAAATGTGAGACTCTGTGTGAGACCGAAGGGTTCAAATAGCAAATGTTCAAGGTGGATTCGGCCATTGGGAATCGGGCAAAAGTGTTCGAAGACGATTTTCCCCTAAAAACCGGTGGTTTTCCACTTCCATGATTGTTTCAGGGGGGGAAATCATGAATCGAGCAGACCAACTGCCACCTTCACTGCCCCATTTGCCAGGCTCAAACACCGTGAGGCACGATCGCAAAAGCGTTTCTGGGGTGGGTCAGATTCCCAAACATGGTTTGCAGGTTCACGTTTTCGTTTTCGTATGTTCTTCGTACACTGAGGATGTACACCTGATTTCTTTCTCCATGGGCCCATGGGCATTGGCGACATTGGTGAAGGGGTAAAACCATGTAAAACGGTGGGGCATCAGTATTGCAATATGAGTCAATATGCCGCAGCAATATGCTGCCTAAGGAACATCAAGTAGTCTTGCCTTGCTGTCGATGTTCTCCTCTTGTGGCGCAACTAATATGCTGCTTGCTGATGCAGATCCTCGTCCCGGATGGAAGCTTTCTGAGGGGAGCATTCGGGAGAGCAGAAAGGTGTTCATCTATCACTTCATTTCGGTTTATGATTTGTGATGGGATGATGTTGGATGATACATGAAGGACGTTGTAAACCTTTGATCCAAAACCTCAAACTTTGGTTATCATCACCACCTTGAGAGCACGGTGCCGAACCCGTCGTGCGTGGGTTCGGCGCCACCGGTCTTGCCAGGTTCTGCACGTGGCATTGGCTGCTTTGGAGGTCTTTCAGCACATCAACAAAGGACATGCAAGGATCTGAGATGGCCGGGCATTCTCGAATGCGCGGGTGGTGAACATCGTTGTTTCGCCGGGTTCTTGGGGGGGGGTCGTAGTGTTCCATGTGTTGCACATGTTGTGGGGTGACGTGTGGGTGTTTCGATCTATGTCGCGACATGAGGATCTTGGGATCGGCTTGGGTCTGAGGCCACAGTGCTGCTAGGTCCCGCCTGTTGTGGCAAGTCTGTGGTGCTCAAGGCGGGGTTCGTGGGGACGGTATTTCGATGAATGCCGAAACAAGCTGGGTATGTTGAACATGCTGGGTATCTGGTTTTTCCCTTGCGTGGACAGGCTTGATTTGTTGGATGTTTTTGGTGTGTTTCCCTCACGTGTAGAGTCTAGAGTTGCCAGGGAGCTGCCGGCAGTAGGAAAGCAGTTGGTGTCGCGTTTGCACGCACTGTCGTCCATACAGCCCGTCCATGCAGCAGTTGCATGTAGACGGAGCAGCCTAGTCATGAGAATAACCATGGCTAGTAAGCAGGTACTTGGAATAACCTGGTATAACCATGGTATAACCTGGTATAACCAGATAATTACATGGTTAGTAACTTGGAATAACCAAGTTGCTGTTGTAACCATGTTAGTAACTATGTTGCCTCTTGGTGAGTAACTATGTTGCCTCTTGGTCAAGACTCTCTGTCTATATAATAATTGACATATAGAATATAGAGTAGAATATATAGATATTTGTGCAATTGACTCAAGTGACCATCGACCATGTCATCAGAACTACTAGATGCCCATCCAAGAAGTCCTCCTAGAAATCTCCCAAGAAACAGTTGTTCAAAGTTCAAACAAAAATAGAAAAACGTTCCTGGACCTTCCAAGGGGTGTCTAATGCAGATCTCTCAGTAGTGTGTGGGCTTCCAGCCACATGACCCCGTAAGGAAGGTGCTGACTGTTTTCCAAACAAGATCTTGAATTAATTGGACTGTCCATTCACAGAGGGTGTTCCACCTATACCTGTTTCTACGATAACAAAAAAATATCCACACAGGTTGGACCACACATCGACGTGAGGTTTTTGGATGGCGCGGCTCGTGTCTCCCACTCATTGGTCTCCCGTTGGTCTCCTGCTTTAAGGAAGTAACTGGCTACGCTCAACCATCTTTTCCCTCCAGGTGATTCGTAGGCTCTTAGGAATCTCAACTGGTCAACAAGGGCCTTCGGTGCTTCAGCTACTCGGGTTGATCACGCCTCGTCCGGCGGAGGCGGTTCAAGCTGCTGGCCATGTTCTCAGTGGTGTTCCAGACAGGATGAAGTCTCGGGCCGAACACCTTTTCTTAGTGTGGAGAGGTGCTGGACACAAGGAAGACTCTTGATGAAGTGGCGCTACCCACCAGGCATACACACTCCCCCCATGGACCAAGAGGAAACCAGGAACTGGTTCAAGGTGTCACTCGAGTGGTCGAACCAGCTGTTTCAACCACTTTGGAGGAAGCTTCCAGAGAGGTCAATAGCATTGAGACCTTCCTGGCAAAGCATGTGTTCTTCAAGTCTTTACTTTGGAAGAACCAAGCCTTCTCCGGCCCTCCGCGCCACGCACGCCATGCGCCCTATCTTAACATCCAACAGGTCACTGTCCTGGCACCATCGAGACGTCCAAGCCACAGCCGGAGCCACAGCGACGGGTGCGGCGACAAAGCGATGGACTGTCAAACCTGCGATGTCATCGAACGAGTGGTGTCCTCTATAACACCGTGTCCCCTTCATCGTGTGGGAAGGGAGTGGGTGAAGCACTGCAACGAGTGGGTGTAGCGAGGTTTCCAGCCTAGTCTCGTGATGAGAAAAAATGGCCGTAGAGACTCGGACTGGAATGTCTTGTGACTCAGGCTTTGCCTTTGGTACCTCTATCCACAGGCAGCGGAACGCGATTGACGTGGCACAGCCGTTTCGGAAAAACATGGAATTTCTGGCAGCTCTGCTGTCAGAATGCTGCGATGATTTGTCTCCCAGTCTGCAGACGAAGCTGAGCTTCGCCGTGTGGACGAGAACCACACACTCCTTGAATTGATCATGGAAGTGGAAAACCACAGCACCTCCGACATCGGGACCATGCACCTCCGACATCGGGACCATGGATATCCACGTACTATCACCGTAGATGAGTGGAGTGGGAAGAGTGGGGCGTAACCTCCGCTCGGAAAAGAACAACGCCCCATTGATGATTAAGACAAGAACTCTTTTTCTGGTTATCAGTTCGGCCAGTTGGAGCCAGTTGATTCAACTATGTTGAAAAACGAACTGGCTCCAACTGGCTCCGCGTTCCTGGCCCTCTGTCCATGCCTGTTTCTCTTTCCCAGGCTTTGGCCGATGATCAAGGCCACGAGTGCTCATCGGAAACGGTAGAACGTGGTCCGAAAGGATCTGTTTTTGTTAGGCTTTGGTTCATAGCAACCAGACCCTTGATGTGTTTCTTTCACAACATTTTTGGCCCCCAAACAACCCCAAACAAAGCTCATAGTTGCAGCCTTTGAAAGTTCTTCATTTCATGAATAGATTTGCCTTATTCTTTGCGGTTTATATGATTGGGACGTGGTAGTGGTAGAACCTTTTCAGGTGGCTTTTGCACGTGGCTTCCTCCAATTAGTTGGCGCAAGGGTGGCCCTGAAATGGAGCAGTTTGTGATACCAACTCCATATGATCTGCCAGTCTCCAAGTCCAACCGCGGCAGGCCATGCCATGCCACGCACGAGGGTAGTTTTCTTCTTAACTTATCTCTTAAAAGATGAGGACTTCCTTCAAACTTCTGTGCTTGAAAAGTCTACTTGGTGATTTTGGGGTAACCTTATATATGGGATCCTTTTGAGCAGCCCACAGCCTCTCCATCGATTCCTGACACCGCTTTTTTCGGCGCGTTTGTGCAGGCGCTTTTTGGGTGGCGTTTGGTTCGGTCGATGTTGTGAGGCGAGGGTTGTGGCTTTGACCAGATGCTGCTGGGCCCCTGGTGCATTCGAAGGGTCGTCTTCGCGACGAAACGGGCGTTTTGCCCGGAGGATCAAAAGATATACCATGCCATTAGACATTATTTTATAGGTGGCAGTAGTACCGTGAAATAAATTGTCAACATATTATACACATCGGTATTTTTTAAAGAGAGTGGTGGGAGGAGGGTTCATAATATGGCTTTCTCGTTGAGAGTCAAAGCATCCAAAATAATAAGGAACTTAGACTTATTCCGATCTTTTTTAACAGGCATATTTAAAAGTCTCAGATTTAGGAGGGTGGAGATCTTAGATGTGGGAAAGCGTGCACTTTTGCTTGTGCCAGACGTGCCAGATCTTAGTTGTGTGGTGAAGCAAGCAGTCAATGACAAACCAACCAAGCAGGAAGACAGAAGAAAAAGAACGCGGCAAATTATTTTGCTAGTGGTTGACTGTGGAAAGACTTGTGCGTGACGCTTGCCATGAATCTCCCGCTAAATCCCCTAGGAAGACCACCCATTTTCCAAGTTGTATCATGTTAATAACAAGATTCTTGAAAATCAATGAATTGTATTTTTGGGCAGCGGACTCTCAGAATTCATAAACAGTAGGGAAGTATACCCCACCTAAAAATATCTCTTTTGGTAGGTGGTGGACAGTACCACCCAACCTATGGTAGGGTATATATATATATATATCAAAAGGCTCTGCATTCGGAGCGTCGGACTCTGTGCAAAGAAACACGCGGGAGAATGAAGCGGTTTTCTTTTTCTGGGATGTAGATGAATGTGTTGCATAGGAGGTCTCACATGCAGTGATTCTCTTGCATGAGTGTATCACTTGTGTTGCATACAGCTTGGGATGACCCCGAGAGAGCAGGAGTTGAGTGTAGACAGTTGCTTCATGTGAACCTCTGAGCCAGCTAGATCCCAGAAGTACGTGCACAGTGTGCCGACAATTGTCCTCAATCAAATTAAAGCCAGCTGTGGTTGACTTGAAGAACACACCTAAATGAACTGTATGACTTTGGGTGTGGGTCCATATCGCTACAGTTTCTCGATGATTCCGATTTCTAATCACTTTGTTAGCTAGCTTGCATTCCCGATGTCTTGGTGAGTCTTGTGAATCTTAACATATCTTAGCGTTCCTTGACCTTTTTATTGTAATTATCGAATCAACCGAATCCCACCAGTTTTCCACTTCTTTCCAACTCGACACCTTGGGGTTCTCCCTACCTTTTCATTTCCGGTGATGCGAAGCACCGCATTCACCACATTCCCATGGCCCCTCAACACCGGCTCAGACTCTGAGGCCATGCTTGCTCGAGACCATCACCCAGCGACATGCGAACACTCACGCGGAACTGGCCGATGCCCCAAGTGTGCAAGATGAGAGATCTTGAAAGAATGCCGGTGTGACAGTTGTATGATGGATCAAGACATGACAACCATCATACATATCCCAAAACCATTGAACATAAAACAAGAAAGAGGAACATGACGTGCTATATATGCCAACATATCCCAACCCTTCAAACATAACGATAATGGAATATAGTAATAAACCCACGCTAACGCTCTCTTTGCTGGTTGCGGCAAAGTGTCTAGGCCCATATCCACCCGGTGTCAAAACAGAAGGGCCCAGGGTCCCACAGGCGTCCCAGCACGTGGGAATGTCTCAATAAATCACCAAATATCCCTCCATGTCTATGGAGATGATTTTCTAACAAGGGCGGAACACGGACACCATACTATATATATATACACAAGGCTTATGCCTAAGAGCGGGCCGGGCAGGCAAGCAGGGCAGGTGCAGGCATCAGGCGCAGGCGTAAGCAGGGCAGGTGCAGATCCTTATCATTTTCTTTTCCTCCCCCGCTTTCTCGTTCTTGTTCTCTTTCTTTTTCTCGTTCTCCCTCTCCCCCCCCTCTCTCTCTCTCTCTTCCTCCTATTGGGTATAGTGTTTTTTGTTCCCATTTTGGTGTGTTTTGTTCCCGTGATGTCTCCCTTTCCCGGAATGGTGTTTTCTGTGCCCGCAGGTGTTTTATGTTCCCGCAGGTGTTTTCTGTTGCCGCTAGTGGGGTGTTTTTTGTGGCCGCCAAGGTGTTCTTTGTTCCCGGCAACGCCGTCAAGGTGTTTTTTGTTCCCGGCAATTCTGTGATCCTGCGTGCCCGTTGGTTGTTGGCGGTGCGTTGATATGGCCAGCAATGAAACACAAATGTCGCGTGAGTAGAGAAAAGCTGCTGCACCCGCAACCTCTTGAAGGACAGCGCAATTGATGAGATATGTCGGTTTGACTTCGCCCGGCCAAACAGTTCCACGCAAAGAGCACGCTCCACGCACAGACCCGCGTCTGGGAATGGTATGGAAGGTAAGGGGAAACATTGCAGCTGGAGTAGATTTCGTGGTGTGAGGGCACGTCTTGGTATATGAGGGCAGAGTGTGTGGCACAAGCTCGGCCAAGTGGCAGCAGTGGTATAGCCGTCGTCGTTGTCGTCGTAGTGGTATATAGGAGTGGTCGTAGTGGTCGTAGTAGTCGTGGTAGTGGTAGTCGTGGTGTGTATAGTGGTAGTGGTAGTGTTAGTTGTAGTCGTAGTTGTCGTATATTTTTGTTATTCTTCCTGTTGTTGTTGTTGCTGCAGCAGTAGTGGCTGTTCTAGATTGAATCTTTTAATCTACGCCAGCCTTGCCTGACATATAGGGTCTCTTCCCAGTGGCTTCGTCGATTTTCTACACGGTTTCTTCAATACTGATGAGCAGAAGTGGCGTCGCTTTCTTCAGGCTTTTGCTCTTGCTCCGTGGCTCTTCAGGCTTCAGGCTCTTGCTCTTGGGGCTCTTGCTCCGGGTGTTCTCTGATGATGCTCAGGCCTTCCAAGTGCAACTGCTCAAATACTAGTAGCAATAGTCGTAGCACTAGTAGCAGTAGTAGCAGTACTGGTAGTACTGGGAAAGTAGTAAGTATAAGTAGTAGTAGTAGTAGTAGTAGTAGTAGTAGTA